ATAAATTGATTGGTGAATTGGCAAATAAATTGTGCATCTGTTACTGTAAACAAAGACATGTTTTATGTGATAGAATACCACAAATTGGCCTTAAAATACATTTTATTTGCTGTAACAAAAGATTAAGTGTTCAGCCTGTTCAATCGTACTGCAATACTTTTCATTACAATACTGTACTGGGCAGAGCTATGCACTGAATGCATATGTAAATTAGGTTTAACCAGCACTGTCTGTCATAGTACTACACACTAAATCAGTGTGAATTGACACCAAAGACATCAATGACATCTTTATTTATCTTCATCTCTCTCTGTATCACCTGTCACTCAATTTTTGTTGTTCATATGATAATTGTAAATCAATATACATACAGTTAAGGAAGAAAAGGAAAGGAATTTTTAAGGAAAAATAAAATGTTATTTCTGTCTTTTCCCATTGGCAAGGGAAAGTTAAGGGCCGGCAAGTTGCACTTAGATGGGGACTCAGACTCCATTAATGCAGGATGTGAAAAATAAAATACATTAGCGAACCTTCACAAAAAAAAAAAAAAATCATTCTGTGGAATTTGCAATTAACAGCTGACCTTATTTTCAATGTTCAGTCTATTTGCTGAAAAGAGAGAAAGCTGATTGTTAGATAAAGTTTGTGAACAATTTCCTAACAGTATAAATTGGAAAAAGTTATGTTGTAAGGCTGAGTTTCTTCAGAAGGAACAGATGGATCCGAGCTGCAAACTAGGGATAGTCATTTATGTGTGAGTTTATCAGGAAACATAATTATATATCTTTATTGCAATACAGAGAATGGGATTTCCAGGGGTACTCAATATATAATTAAAACTTTATGTTGGATGTGCCTAGACTAATTAAAATATATTGGACTAACTAAATCTACCAATTTAATCCCAAATTATAATTGAAATTTAAATTGGAACACAAAGTGACCTCATATCATTTACTTGTATAATTAATTTTACTAAATGCCCGTTGAATGAAGTGAAAGTTTGTATTAGTCTGTTTTTTTTCTGATGATTGAATGACAACTAAAAACCTCAATACATAATCTTAAGGGTCAAAGAAAATGTCAAACACAGAGATTCTTGCATTCCTTTACATACACAGGTTAGCCACAAGGGAGTTGTAATCATTTAGTTATTTGGTGTTTGGCAAGGAAGGAGACCAAGGCATATGAACCAAAATCACATGACTTGGACTCAAGTGTGACTCAAGTCCAAATTAGATGACTTCAGACTTGACTCGTCCCCTCCCCTAACCCCAGAAAAAAAAAAAAAAAAAAACAATAATACAGACTTGATAATATTTATAACTTGTTTCATAGGCTTTGTGTAAAATTTGCTGTCAATCAAAATAACCTGGTGATAAGTGACATCAGGAGGATAGTAAAGTAATAGTTGGAATATGGCAATAATAATCAATATTAATATTAAGAATTTTATGAGGGAAAAAATCCAATCTTGCCAAGTATGATGTAGACCCAGAGATCATGATGTGAGCTAAATCACAGTGACGTGCATGGATTTCACAGAGAAGTTCAATCTCAAGGCTTTTAGGAGGCGGTTCACAAATACCTCCAGGGATAAAGTGGGATTATATGCAGCAGATTATGTCATCAGTAGCACTGGAACAAGAGAGGGCTCCAGTTTCAGATGACCTTGGCAAGAGCCTTACAACACACACAACAATGAGCCAAATCATGGCATCCACGGCTATAGCAGGAGGGGGTCAGAGATGTTACCCAGAGACTGCAGGCTAAATAAAGCAAAGCACAACCTAAACCAGGCATTCGGCAGAGGGCAGAGCTGATGTTTTTTTGTTTTATTACAGCAAAAAAATGTACTCCTGTGCCAGCACTGGAGCTGAATTACTTGCCCTAAATGGAATTATTCACATGAAAGATAAACTGATCATGGAAGAAGGAACTATGATATATGACACTACATTTACAAAAAATCATTAGTTTACTGTGGATGTTTTGAATCCCCTTTAGTTATAATGATGGCTTTACCTCTCCCTGTCATGCCTCCAAACAGGGAGTACTCCCATTGTGGTGAATCCTACAGCAGTCAGGAGCTCCCAGTAGTCTCACACGGTTTTGCTCATGTGTCTTGGGTGCACAGGCTCTAAATGGGATTTTAGTCAGGTGACTGTGTGGGCCAGCTCACAGTTTTACTTTCTTCCGCCTTAAAGCATGCCTCTGCACAGCCAGCACAGGACTATCCCATTATGCTATGCCTCAGTCTTTATGTCATCACTAATCACAGCAAAGGATTGAAATCATGTACCCAGGTCAACCTCTTTTTTTTTTAGGGTGTGTAACAGGAGCCCCTTTGTCTAAACTCCATCGGCCTGATGAAAAGGCCTAATGCCTCAAGTGTACCGTAGCTGATTGCTATTATTTTGCACTATTTTTATTGGTTAGATTCATGTCATTCAACTGTCACAGAACATGCTTCATTTACACAAAGGGGTAAATCCATTTGGAAGTGAGAAGATGCAGGGAAAAGTGGTTTGGACCGTACATTAATCACTAAAAGTGAATTAAGTTGCTGAACAGCACTAATTGTGCCTGTAGTAAATTATGTGTTCTGAAACTACAGCAAAGCAATATCTCCATAACTCCATAATTCCATAACCAATTTATAACTACATTTCAAGGCCAAAAAGCCAGCAACTTGTTTGCGAGAGGCGATAATTATTTGCCTCTTTAAAGAAACTGAAGTAGAATGGACAAGAAATGTACTCCGTAAGAGTAGTCTAGATAGTTTGCGTTTGAGGGATTCAACAAACTCAAGTGTCAAGCCTCTCACCAACTGTCTCTTCTTAGAGGAAGACTTTTTTAAAGCACAGATCAGGATGGCTGGCCCGCACACACTCACAAAGGAGTTGGTCTGGAGGAGTGAACCAAGATGCTTTCATTCAGTTGTGCACAAAGTGCTTGAAGAGCACTACCAAACCTTTTGTGACACGGACAATAAAATCTTCAAATGACATTTCAGGGCTGCTAAAGCGAGGATATATGGCTTCAAAGTTCCCCACCACAATTGCACTCTAACCCCATAATATCATAACTGGAGGCTTTATGGAGACAGGAAATGTCTCTTACAAGGCCTCTCGGGCTGAATAAAAGAGAAAAAAGAAACCAGTAGTGTTTGTTTTACAGTATCCCATGAAAATGCTCTTCTTTATTGAGATTCCAGTAAGACTGCAAATCCTCTGTTAAACTTTTTACTAGTTCCTGTACTTCTTGTATGGATTCTGTGGAAAAACAAAAACTAGTCACTCAGATGAACATACATTGTACACTCTATTGAGCTGACTTTTGCTTAAGATTTCACAGTTAGTTATGCTAATACTGTTTTATTAAGATTTTAATAGTGTCTATCACTCATCATACTTGGTTGAATCAAATAATACCCGCATGCAAGACATTGATGTGATTTACTACATACGAATACACTTCTGATAGCACAGGTTCATGACAAGCCTTTGCCCTGTAGTGAAAAACAGGCACTCATACGCACATACAAGTACACAGAGCATGTCTGAGAACTGACATGAATTGTAACCTAGAAACACTGACGGCTTTACTGAAATGTGTGAAAATACATTTGCCTCACAGTCAAACACGCATGCATGCACACACAATCTAGGAAGATAGGTCTGTGTGACTGCTGTGAATCAGAAGCTAGAAACACTGATGGGTGCACTGAAATGTATGACTGTGTTATTTGTTTTGCAATATGCTACCTGGCAGTTCTTGTAGCCACTACATCTCACTCTCCCCTTTCAATTCCACCTGCTTCCCAAGGGAGCGCTGACGGAATTTTGGGTAATAGATGTGTAACAGTAATAGAATGCGACCTGGAAGGTATGGGATTCATTGTAAAATGTTTCCCTTTCTCACAGAGTAATACGTCTGGAAACAGACAGGCCAGCCCGGAGTACTGAGTCTAACAGTACTGAGAGTATTAAAAAACATGTTAATACTTTAATTCCATGCCATAAAACTGAACTATATAAAATATACTGTATAATATCTACTCATTAATATTGTCCAAAATTAAAGAGAAACTGAAAATACACTTCCTCTGAAATAATCTAATGATGATTATTTTCTTCCTTTACATTAATAAAGTTTTTAACAGTAAGATAACTTTCAGTTTAAAAGATTACTGCCCCTCCAGAAAGAATTCCCATATACAGTATAGCTATAATATTGAGCTATATTGTGTCTACCTCCACAATATACAATAATAAAAGCTCAGTTATACACATTGTCCACAATATTTGTAAATTGCGTACATCAAAACATCAAACTGGAAACCTCTGTAAAACCAGAAGTAAGAGAAAGAGACAGATTAGGAGTGAGACTTTGAAAAATGAGATCCTCAGTTCTGTCCTCACTCTTAATTTCATCATCACGTAAAATCAAGCCAAATATGCTGCCCCAGCAGATCCAGGAAGTTAAGCAGAACAAGAGCATGAAAATTCTCAAACAAAATGTTTTGAGTTGGTCGGTGCCAAGGGGCAGCTATCCAAATGTTGGACTTTAAATTTCAATGTCTATGGAGAGCTATTTTTTTCAGTCTGGTTTTTGGAGGTTTGAATGCTTGCATACATTTACTGATATAAACTTAATACTACCAAACCTACTTCTCAATAAATCTGCATGACAACGTATGTATTTGAAACAATATAAATAACCACAGAGTACATCTGCACAGTATCAAATTCAAAATAAAACACTGATGACATGTTTATGATATGTATTAAGAGCTTGCATGTGTGATTGACCATAAACTGTGCCTGGCAAAGAAAAAACCAGCATAGCCCTCTACACTACATGTACATTACTGTCATTTAGCAGATGCTCTTATCCAGAGAGACTTACATAGGTTACAGTTTTTACATGTTATCCATTTATACATCTGGATATGTACTGTGGCAATTCTGGGTAGAGTGCCTTGCCCAAGGGGGCAACAGCAGTGCCCTAGCAGGGAATTGAACCGGGAACCTTTTGGTTATAAGCCCAGCTCCTTACCACTATGCCAGACTGCCAGCCTTCTAACACTTAACAGGCCCAAAAAAATAGTAGAAGAGCTTATCAATGTGTGTCATGCGTATTGATGACTTCATTGTTTACATCTGAATCGTTACTGGAGACAACGCTCACTAATCTTTACAATGGAGGGTATCTTGCTGAAAGAGCAAACCTCGCCTTTTCACTCACTCAATTTCAGCACTGCAGATCAGTGACAATAAAACAGTTCAAATCAGCAGTTTCATCTCACTTTAGTACCTCTAATTTCCAAAATTCACAGTACTCACTTTGATTGAATACTCACCAAAAAGTTTCTCTTTTCCTTTTTTTGAATGAACTTTTAAAAAAACAATGAGGCCATGCCGGTAGCTGTGTGGTACTTTTTTATTTTAATTGCAGGGAATTTTTACAGTATGTTAATATACCTTTTGTTGCAGCATATGATTTTAAATTCAGACGGCAGTGGGAAAAGAAACAACTTTCTTGTGCTTGCATGAATAATAAATCTAAGGGTAACAAAATGGACGTAGTTCAAACGAAAACAACATTTTTCTAACCCTGTGTTATTATGCTAAGTGAGATATAGCCAAGCATATTTAGTCAGTAATGTCTTAAAACAGCTTTTTCCCAACAGAGAGAACATTTTTACAAACTCTATGGCTTTTTAAAAAACAATTATGGTGTATCACTGCTTCTCTGCAAAACATCACATAGTTTACTAATGATTACAAGAAATAAGAAGTAACAATCATACTATTTGGGCATCTTTTTAGTGTTGTCCTATAGAAAGTATTGTCTCTAGTAAACTGCAATTGAAGCCTGAAACAGAATTTCATTTTCTTGATTCCTAATGAATGATTGCCAAAAAAGACAAGCAGGATGGTATATGTTTATTAATTAGAAATGTGTATCGTTATTAAATCCAACTGAAATATGTCTGTCGATGTTAATGCTTCTCAATTACAGTCTACAGAAAAATAGCTCATTGTTGAAAAAATGCATACACAGTGACCATGCAGCAATGCATTAAACCCCTTTTCCTCTCACTCTACACTCTCCTTGGGCAACAAATTTGAATCTGAAAAATACATACAGGGAAATATATCATATTCATGTAGATATTGTCCTGGGGAGTTGGGCCAGACTAGACCATGAAATAAACACCAATGCATTTCCAATCTAAGTGAAATGCAGTCATGTCATATTGTAATCCTACCCCTTCCCAAGTGAGTTGTTAAAATTCTATCATGATTGATAACTGAACAGCACATAGACTTTACTATTATGCTGCAAACATGCAATGTTGATATGGCTCTGTGTGTAGAATAAAATATCATTATTACTGGTACTCAGTATTCATTATACAAACCTTCACACAAACCTTGAATGGAATAATTAAAATAACCACTGTAATGGTGTTCAACAGGATATGAAAGTATGTTAATGCATACATGACAAACAGAATAAGAAAACAAACAAACAAAAAAGCTTTTGCTTTCACTTAAATGTATTTAAATTATTTAATGCCAGCATATATACACATGTTGCATTGTGCTTTTGGAGTGCTGACAAACTGCAGTAATTATTAAATATGTGGCTGAGGAAATGCACAATTTCCCTAAGTTGTCCAAAAGAAAAAGTGAGAGGAACATTCACAGAAAAATTCACAAAATCTAGAATACCCCCAAGCCAACTTGACATGTAAACTAATTTGCTCAGACTGCTGGTTGAAACTACCCATGGTAAAACACAATTAAATGACAGGAAAAACATAACAGCTTTGCAAGATATTATACTTACATGGTTACAGTTATATGGGTTCTTATTTACTCAACAATATGTATTTGAGGGTGTGCACATGTGTGTTTACATGTATCTAGCTTTAACAGATTGCAGTGTTGGTGTTGTATGTAATTATCTACCCAGATGTTTGTGTTATTCCTTGAGGGCAACACTATCAATGAGCAAATACAGGACAAATAAATAATGTAAGCCAAAATGAGTATATTAGCAAATTGGATGGCTGCTGAAGGCTTCACTAAAGCTGTGAAAGAAATTTGAATAATTCAGACAATGCCAATGCCATTCACATTCCATCATCAAAACACTACTTTCAGATACTAGGTGCAAGAACAACTTACCTCTCTGATGGACATTACATTTGCAACAGAGACTGTGGGTGTTAGCTTTCACACTACTGTAAAAACCACTGGCCACTGGTGCTGCAATAGCCCACCATGGTTTGACAAAATGGTTCTGACCTACTACTCCCAGCGGATCAACTCCAGTCAACATTCAGCCCCTCCTCTGTGCTAACACTGCTGTGCGGCCCCTCCGATCTTCCACAGCCGGCTGGCTGGTCAGCTCGCCCCTTGGCTTCTGCTATATGTTAGTGCATTAGCCACCTAGCCCTTGTCAGCTATGGTTTCCTCTTTTCCCCGAGGTGAATAGTGTCCCAAACACAAAATAATGCAGTGTAGTGTGGAACTTGCATGGCATATATCATTGAGTTATTTTTTAAATTTTTTTAAACAGGGAGGCATGTTTGCTATTCTAACACACCTAAAACCTTTAATACGACGTGGTGTTGATTAAGATACAGATAAAGTACAACCAGCAAAATGACTAAAGAACTTTGTAATCATTCAATACAGCATTGCTATCTTACTGTTATCTAACAAACAAACGAAATGCCAGTTTGTTTTGAAACAGCAAGAGCATTTGTTCCAGCAGAATATGTCAGCCTAATTTGGCAGCCTCCCGGGGGTCTGTCTCACCAGTGGTCCCTCTTTGCATTAGGCCTCTTCTTCTTTCTCTTCTCTTCCTTCCATTTTTTTTGCAGTGGTTTAGAGATACATTACTGCATGCACTAGAGGAGATGTGATGTGAAGTACCATTGATGTTCACTAGGTTTATGAGGTCAACATCATTTTTTAAGCAGTCTCTTTGGAACCATTACAGACTCAGTACTGAAACCCATTTTGGATTTTACAACTATGGCTCTGTGATAAAATATAATGTATACAACTATATACTGTATAATTTTTAAAATTCATCTGTACTATACACTAAATGCTGGCCAGATAGTATGCAGTAAGAAATCTGTCTAAATTGTTGTGTGGTATGTATTCTGTCTGAAATATTCCATGAAGAAATTCACTGGCTGATTCACGATAGTTTGTTTTGCTGTGAGCAAACACAACCATGCTACAGCACAACATGGCTGCCAACGCAAGAAAAAAACTTGCACAACCAGCTATACATGAAACAACAAAAAAGAGATCTAGATTTAACTGTAATTCCCCAAAACAGGTAAGACTCAACATTTCAGATGGAAGCACCAGGCCACTTAGTGAGTCACATTACCTGAAGAAAGACTGTGATGTAATAAGTCCACAGATGCCAAATTTATATTGACTGCACCTATGTTTGACTATAAATCAGAATACATTTCAAATCTGAAATGGAGCAAGGTACTTCTCCTGGTGCACCTACAGTAAAATAATGATAAAAATAAACCAGTAATTCACAAGCCATTATGCATCTGATCAAATCATCAGCATTCTATCTACGAATGTACCTTCACTGTACGAGAAATGCACTAATTGGAACAATAAGGCACAAAAAACACCCCATTTCTCTTCCTCATCTCCATGCCAACACAAGCATTGGATCTCACTGATCCGACTCAAAAGTCGACTGCGTCAAGGCCACCGAGGAGCTATTCAAATAAAGAGAAACCTAATTCACACATTCAGACTCTGCAGATGTATTTTCATCATGGCAGAAATGTTTTATCGCATTTAAAATCAGCTTCATCTCCCTCGCTGCCTGCCGGGTCTCCTCCTTCATCCTCACAGGCAATTTCCCCCTTTTTGTTTTTGCCACGAGACACCTTATACACAAGCTGAATTTCTCCCCTCAAACCCACGTTTCCTATTGCACTGGTGTACAAAGTTTTTTGACGTTTTACAAACTTAAGAAAGAATGACTGTTAATGTTTCATCAAGTCAAGACAAATAAATGCCAGCTGAGAGGATGGCTGCCCTTGAAGGTTATCACAGTCAATTTCTTGTCAAGCACACTTTTGATTGAGTATTATGCCAATGAGCCATTTTGTCCACCTTTAATCTGCAGCTTTAAAGAAAGACAGACTAATATTTTCCATTGTTGAAAGGTATGTCAGTAATGGGATATGAGAATCTAAAAAGGAAATGAATTATAGTAATAATTTGTTTGCTTTGACAGTACCTCTATTCAGGACAACTCACATACCTTTTTACAATATCCATTTATACAGCAAGACATTTACAGAACTGAGTCAGGCACATTACCTCTGATATGGGATGGTATAGCAGTGTCCAAAGGTAAATTTGAACATAGAATCTACTATTCATAATAATAAGCTTCTAAACCACTACTCCAAACATGATACAAAATTTGGGATATATGCAGCTGTGTCCTTGATATCCAAACAGTTTGTGGGGTCATTCATAAGTGATTCAAACATATCATTACCCCCCGACAATATTGAACCTTATTGTATTAATTTGAATAGCATTATGTAAAACGTTGTTTTGAAGATTACTCATGAGAAAAAAACATGATGTGTTCCCCTTCCTCTTAGAACATCAAGAAAGTTCCACTAATCTCAACTGTTACAATGACCTTTCTTAATAAAGTTGCTCTGAAGCATAAATTACATGGCATGCTAAAGATACATTCTCCTTTCAATCCTGCAGCCAACAAAGACATCTGAACATTCTGATCTGTGCACTTCATGATTTGGGTCATGAATTATTTACAATCCTTGGATTATTTGAGGTTTGGCTGGCTCTACTAGTACATTTCAGCGGAGCAGCCAATTTCAAAATTAAAACAGTCCTCTGCAGTCTGCCCACCCCTCTCAGTATTTTGTTATGCAAATGTTAAATAAACTGCCCACAAATTTAACTAAACCCTTTCCAAAATCCACTGAGGTTTATGTACAGCACTATCCAAATAAATGACAAACTCA